ATTTTGTTAGCATTATTTTGGTATTGTATATTTTAGAATCATTATATGTATTATTTTGCATATTGATATTGAAGTCATCTATCTTATTCTTTAATTCTGTTCAACTTTATTTCCTTTTCCTGCATAGTTGATAATTTATAATTTAATAATAATCTTAAATCCATAGTCATAAATAAAATTGGTGGCCCACCACTCATCACGAAGCAGTAAAGAGGGAAATTGTAGTGAATGACACTAAAGGTTGGATAAATAGGTAAATTACAGGAAAATTCACCTATGCCCAGTTTCTCAAGAAACCCCCTCATCTACTGAGTTCAATAAAAACCTCCTCATCTATTAATTACTGTGTACGTTTGTAACGTCATGCATCTCCCCTAGTCTAAGAAGAAGATGAAAGAAGTTATGAAATAAAAAGAGCACAGATACTTGTAGAATTTAAATTTAATCCTCTCATTTGCATCACAAGTTTACCATGCAGCTATTTAATAAGTAACAATATCAATTTTAATAACCATTATAGAGCAGCGTATTTTTTTTGTCAGGCTTAATAAGTGAAGGGTTTTTGGAAATCTTGGAACAAATGAAGGGGATATAGAAATGTTCTCGTAGCCTCTGTATCAGTAATAATAACAAGGACACCTATTATTTGAGACATAGGGATATTACTTAGGTATACCTTAAGCAACCTAAAGTTGATATGCAAATCAACTCAAAACTCCTCCAATTTAGCCAGATTAGATTTTGCAACAGACACATACTAGATGATAAAAAGGAAAACAACGAACAAAACCCCATCTCAAACAAGGATTAACTAACGGTTGTCTTGATTTGTAGTGATGCATGACATTTACGTCCACAATGATGATAAAACACAAGTCCCTGAGAATAGGATAAGTTCTTTCTGATTACATTGTAAAATGTAAATGTACATTGTTTTGTAATTTAGTAAATTATTTATGTAAAAGGAAGTTGCCCAGGAAATTAAGGGAGAAAAGAAATAAAGGGTAACTCGACAATAAGATGTCATGATAAAACTCTTGTTATTTTAGAGGTAATAATCCTCTAAACCTTGTATTTGTTTTTGAGGTTTTGTCCAACCAGGAGCTCAAGTGATATTAAAATAGTAGTAGCAATTTAACAAATAAAATTTAGGATATTTTTTCTCTCAAGTTTTTTTTTAAAACCAATTTTTTTTTTAAGATTTTGTTCTCTCAGGATATTTCTTATTTTGAAAGCCAAGTTAACAGACATGCTTTGCGTTCATGAAATAATGTAGAAGAATACTTAATTGTTACCAAACAAAGAAAACAATGAATAGTTAAAATTTTCAAGTGGAATCAATAAAGATCATGGAGAGTCCAGTGGTTGAAGACCTCTCTTGTGCAGTGGGAATTTTTTGCAAACTTTTTAAGGACAAATTGTCTCCAACCCTTTGAGTTTTAAAAAATACGATTCCCTACTTTTGTCATGCTTCTGCACTTTGCACATAATAACCCATATGTTTTCTTTTAGAAATTTCCTAACCTACTTGAGTCCTTTCCCTCTTCATTTTCTCTTATCTCTTTCATAAGCCTGCCATGAGCCAATGAACCTATGTTACCTGGGCAGTTCTAATCTAAAGTTGTCCTCAACATGTATACATACCTAGGGGTGTCCAAACGGATCGGGCATGCCTGGCCCTGGCCGAACCATTGGGCCCAGGCGGGTCAAAAGCCCTTGCCCTAGTTCCAAGGTTTTAAATATCGGATATCGGGGAAATATCGGATGGCCAAAATTCATATCGGATTACGGATATCGGGGAAATATAGGGGATATGTGGTAAATATCGGAATGCCATAATAAATGTTTGCATACATAGTAGAATGCATTAAAATGTAATCTCAACATATGTAATAAAATTTAAGCATACAAAATATGAATAATATATGTTTAGCATCACTAATCAACCTTCTAAAACAAACAAAAGTGCAAAACAACGTTGCAACATTCAATCTGTTTTTTTTAGGGCAAAATGTCATGATATAATGGGGAAATCTTGATATCTTGCCCAAAAATTCCAAACACGGTATATTATTTTGCAACAAGCTATATAAAAAGATATATTAGTCCACATATCGGCTAATATATCGGCCATATCGTGGATTTATCACTCAAAATAGCCAAAAAGCGATAAAGGATATTTAAAGACCATATCGGTTGCGGCAAGCCCTGTAAAAGGATATATCGGGGGATATATCGGGCCATGTCGGGGATATTTAAACCAATGCCTAGTTCGGACCCAGTTAGACAGGGCTGGATCCGGTCCCTCACTAATCTTGTAGGCATACTACTACATATATGATATACGGATCTAGCGACGTTCTGTGATCATTAATCAACCTTCCTAATACGCTGAAGGCTAATGGGTCCAGGTTAGATTCGGGTAACCCGGCTCGGCTCAGGCTTCTTCACCCATTCCCAACCCTATCCCAGGTCGAGCTGGGTAGGGTTTTACCTGGAGCTCTAGTATCCGTGCTAGGTTATGATAGGGTTTGGGAACCCGAGTAGCGGGCTTTTTGGACAGCCCTACCCATACTCAAATTCCTTAGACGCTCCTTGCATATGTGCACATTAATTCGGACATGCACTCAATTATACAATACTTGTTTTAATTAAAAACACTTGTCATACATTTTTTGGACATATATCCTTCACTTCACACCTACTTCTCGAAACTCGTTGGATGGATATAGGCCAAGTTCCGAATTATGATTTTGAAGGGTCACTTGGATGCCTTGTTCAAAAGAATCAAAACCTAGTGATTTTCCAATTTATAATCCACATAATAATAGAAAAGTTATAATCCACAAAATAATAGAAAAGTTATAATTCACACCTACTTCTTGAAACTCGTTGGATGGATATAGGCCAAGTTAGGAATTATGATTTTGAAGGGTCACTTGGATGCCTTGTTCAAAACCTAGTGATTTTCCAATTTATAATCCACATAATAATAGAAAAGCTATAATCCACATAATAATAGAAAAGTTATAATCCACATAATAATAGAAACATAAACATTTTATAGGAATTTTAATTCTCATTCTTGTTCTCATATAAAGTATTAGTTACAATATATGATATTTATGTTTATAAATATTTATATCGCTGTGTCCCATATCCTACATTTACAAATTTGTTGTGTCCCCCTACCTGTACTGGTACCCATTCCTGTACCCATACCCGTACATGTGCAAGATAGCCATGAACCCATTCCTCGTGAGGAGGTGACGGGGAAGAGACTGGCGGCGAGGTGAGAGAGGTGGTGGTTGAGGAAGGAGGAGAAAGAAAAATAAAGAATAAAGAGAGAAGATATGAGTATTTTAGGAATTTTATGTAGGGACAAGGGGGTGAAAGACGTGTATAGATTTTCTCATAACACCGGCATTCAATAGAGTGATCTATCCTTTCTCATGGGTGATAGAGTATTTTCTCAGAAATTTGGCTATTATGTACATGATGCAAACCACCCATCTCTTAGTGGGGTTGATTCTGATAGGATTTGTATTTGCAGAAGCATGATTCTTTGGTAAATGTGGCAAAGACTTCTGACTTTTTTCTTGGAGGGAGGAAGCACATTATTAATAATCAAAGGGGGATGGAAGCAAATTTCCCAATTCTAATGAAGAAACTACTCCTCAATAAAAGAAGGACGGTGTCCTTTTCCTTTAGGCTGTTAAGATACTGACTGCTTATTGTTCCTTCATTATAGGAGGACATGCATGTGGGATGTTCCTACGTGTGGTTTGAAAAATATAAAATTTTCTTGTTCAAATTAGCCCAAGACTAAATCTTATGTCCAATCTAAGGACGAATGATTTCTTCCTTTCATGAAGGTTGTTAGTTTTTTATTCTCTCTCATCTCTATTGTCGGTCAGGTCCTAGTTTTAGTATATATCTGATTTTTATCTCACAGTAAAGATTCAAGTTTAGAAATGTTTTATATAATATATGGTAATTTTTTCCAATATATGAATGTCCATGCTCCCGTTTGTGTGCTTCTCATTGTTGTATATCTGGCCAGAACCAGGAATGTTATACGAAAGCACTGGAAGAACAACGTTCACATGAAAAATTCAATTCAAATTTGTGACATATTTGCCAATATTTGTTCTTTGCTTGATAGTGTGCGTCTTAATTGTCTAAAAATCTGATAAAAACGCGCAGCTGGTCCAACAGCTGTCTTATAAGATGTTTTCTTGGAGTTATGGGCATTCTACATATTGCTCTGCATTCTTTTGAGGGAATTTTCTACTTAATCTTGCTTTATAAAACCGATAAACCATGGTTGATCCAGATATGAATTCAGTTAATATCATGTTTACAGAATTTGGAAGAAAATTTTATGGCAGGTTGTTGACCATTAACAGATATTTACTGTAATTTCTTATTGGTTTGGATTCTAAATTTGTGTCCAACCAGTTTGTCAAAATTTCGACGTTAAGAGTTTTCTTCTTTGTTATTTTTAGACAACTGCTTCCTCACATTGCCTTCAAGTTTGACCTTAGGTACTGTGATAAATGTTGAAGTAAAAGTTACATCAGGGAAGCAGTGATATCTGTTGATGTTATTTGTTTACCACGCCATAGTAAAAAATCAATGACATGTCTTTTATTGTGATCGTGGGGTCGGGAGGGCCCACGTGCGTTCGTCCTCTGTGCGGCCACGATGTCGTGCGCCGCTCGAGTTCATGCGCCGCTCGTCTCCTTTCATACACGGACGAGGACGTGGCCATGCCCTGCCCAAGTTCGTGTGCTGCTCCGCGCCCGCATCGAGCCCAACGCCCACGTAGCCTGCCAACCCACGCGAGCTCTTTTTTCCCGCTCCGAGTTTTTTTTTTCGTTCCCGCGCGTTCTGCCAGCCTGCTACCTCGGGTTCTTTCTCCTATAAATAGGAGAGGTGGTGGAGGTGTTTAAGTGTGGGAAAAATTGTGGGAAAAATCTCAAGTTGAGTATTTTTGAGAGAAAAGAAAGAGAGGAAGAGAGAACTTGTATAAGTTTGGTATTTTTTCTCCATAGTGAAACCCCCTCCCGTGGACGTAGGCTAGTTTGCCGAACCACGTAAAAATCTCGTGTTTGTATTTGTCTTATCTGTGAGTTGCCATAGCTTGTAGGTTCCCTCGAGATTTCAGTCCTTGAACTGATGAGAGGAAGAGTGTATATTTCACTTTGATGAAATATATCACTTTCGATTCTTGTTTCCTTTGAGAAATAAGAATTTCATTATCTATTCTCGTTTCCTTTGAGAAACAAGAATTTAGAGGTTGACTTGTGCTTTTGTGACAACGAAAGCCAGGGCTATCTCTCAGGTGATATCGCTTCCGCGGCGGTGGGCGTGACTCCGCCCCAACAATTGGTATTAGAGCCCCTTATTCAGACTGGAGGTGGTAAAATTTCTGATCTGAGGTGGTAGTTGAATATTGTGTGGTAAAACACAAGTAAAAACATAATTAATTGTTAAAAATTCCTGAGAGAAGCAGATTGATATAATACAAGCGGTAAATGGCTTCTACAAGTAAAACAAATAAAATTGGAAAATACGAGATTGAAAAATTCAATGGGAAAAATGATTTTTCTTATTGGAGGATGCAGATGAAAAATTCGCTGATTTTGTAAAAATTGCACAAAGCTTTGGCTGGAAGAGAGAAGCACAAAAATATGTCTGATGAGGATTGGGAGGAGCTGGATCTGGAAGCACGGGCGTCGATTATCCTTTGCCTTGAAAGAGATGTAGCTTTCTTGGTGGACGGGGAGGAAACGGCTGTGGGCGTGTAATTGAAGTTGGAAAGTACCTTCATGACGAAGAGTCTAACGAATCAAATCTATTTAAAATCCAAATTGTATACTTGCAAGATGGAGGAGGGCTCGTCAATCCGGGAGTATATCAACAAGTTCGATAGGATCATATCAGATTTGAAAGACATTGAGGTGACAGTGGAAGACGAGGATCATGCGCTTCTACTACTACTATCTCTGCCGAAGTCCTATGAGAACCTGGTGCAAACACTGATGCTTGTGGGTGATACTTTGTCGATGGATGAGACTAGAGCGGCGCTTCTAGCGGATGACCTTTGAAAAATTGCAACTAGTGATATGACCACTGGTAGTAACAAAGAACAAGCGCAGGGACTGTTTGCCAGAGGAAGAGGCAATGAGCGAGGAAAAGGCAAGGGAGGAAAGTCTAGATCGAAATCGAGACCTCTTGCGGGACGAGCGTGTTTCAAATGCGGTGAAGTTGGGCATTTCAAGGTCGATTGTCCTAACAAGAGAGTAGGTGGGAAAAAGAACAACAACAAGACTGAAAGACGAGAAGGCAATGAAGAGGCGAGCTACGCTTCATAGGATGGGAGCGATAAGGAATGTATGTCGTCACGGATGGCGAGGATACCTCTGGGAAGTGGATTCTTGATTCTGGTTGCTCTTACCACATGTGTCCAAACAGGAAGTGGTTTACTACCTACAGGAGCATTGATGGTGGAACCGTATTGATGGGGAACAACCATGCTTGTAAAACGGTGGGGCTAGGTGATATCAAAATCAAGATGCATGATGGAGTGGTTCGAACCCTGACGGACATACGACACGTTCCCGGCTTGCGGAAGAATCTCATCTCAGTCGGAGCTTTGGACTCTGGGGGTTGCAAGATTGTAACAGAGAACGAAGTGAAGAGGGTTGTTCGGGGTTCCTTAACAGTGATGAAGGGTGTTCGTCACGGTAATCTATATACTCTCTCAGGTACGACGGTGACGGGAGATGCAGCAGTTGGAGCTGAAGGAAGTGGTGGAGACCCATGTGAGCACACACGGTTATGGCATAGGCGGCTTGGGCACATGTCAGAGAAGGGTCTGGATCTGCTTGGTAAGGAGGGTTTGCTGAAGAATCTGAAGAAACCTTGCATGGATTTTTATGAGGACTGTGTATGGAAAGGCGCACAGGGTTCAATTTCTGAGGAGCAAGCACAAGAGCAGAGGGATACTAGATTATGTGCACACGGATGTTTGGGGTCCGACTTCGACAACTTCCAAGGGTGGTTCCAGATATTTTGTCTCATTCATAGATGATCATTCTAGGTATGCTTGGGTTTACTTCCTGAAGCATAAGAATGAGGTATTTGAGACATTCAAGAAGTGGAAGGCGATGGTTGAGAACAGAACGAGTAAGAAATTGAAGACACTGAGATCTGATAACGGTACAGAGTATACAGACGGTGCTTTCAAGGAGTTCTGTGATCAAGAAGGGATAGCCAGACACTGGACAGTCAGGTCTACACCACAGCAAAATGGGGTCGCGGAGAGACTGAACCGAACACTGCGGGAGAAAGCAGTGAGTATGCGATCATATGCTGGTTTGGGCAAAGAATGGTGGGCAGAGTCGATTGCTACAGCTTGTTATATTGTGAATCGATCTCCACATTCGACATTAGACGGTGATACACCCTATCGGGTGTGGTCAGGGGATAGATGATGAGCTTGAGCAGGAGGAGGTTCAGTAGGAGAATACACAGGCACCACTACAACAACAGCAGCTCGAGGATAGCTTGGCTTCCACTAGGCCAAGGCGAGTATACAAGCAGGTACAGAAGCTGGGGGCTGATCAACCCCTGAAGCACTATGGGCAGGTTAATTTGGTGGAATACGCACTCTTGGTGGAGGAAGATGAGCCGGTCTCCTTCAAGGAAGCTATTTGAGACAAGAATAGTGAGAGTTGGTTGGCTACGATGGAGGAGGAGATGGAATCTCTCCGGAAGAACCAAACATGGGAGGTGGTCCCATTGCCCGTAGGAAAGAAAGCTATAGGTTGTAAGTGGCTGTATAAAAGAAAGGAAGATCCTTCAGAGCTCGGTGGAACGAGGTACAAGGCGAGGCTTGTGGCTAAGGGGTTTGCTCAAAGAGAGGGTGTGGATTACAATGGGATATTTTCTCCGGTGGTGAAACACACTTCTATTTGGGTGCTATTGAGTATTGTTGCTCATGGTGATCTTGAGCTGGAACAACTCGATGTCAAGACGGCCTTCTTACACGGAGACTTGGATGAAGAGATCTATATGCATCAACCTGAGGGCTACAAGGTTGAGGATAAGGAGCATCATGTATGTCGCTTGAGGAAGTCACTCTATGGACTAAAGCAATCTCCTCGGCAGTGGTACAAGCGATTTGACTCCTTCATGCTGAAGCATGGGTTTTTCCGAAGCGACTATGATTGTTGTGTTTATATTCGGAAGCTTCGTGGAGGTGATTATATCTATCTCCTGTTGTATGTGGATGACATGCTTATTGCATCGAAAAACAAGGTGGAGATAGATAAGCTAAAATCTCAACTTAGCAATGAGTTTGAGATGAAGGACATGGGCGCTGCTAGAAAAATACTGGGTATGGAGATTAGAAGAGAGCGGATGAATCAGCGATTGTTCTTGAGTCAGAAGGACTATATAGAGCGGGTGATAGCGAGGTTCGGGATGCAAAGTGCAAAGTCGGTGGTGACCCCATTGGCTCCACACTTTAGGCTTTCAGGTAAACAATCTCCCACTACAGCGGAAGATAAGGCACACATGGAGCGTGTCGCTTATGCTAGTGCAGTTGGCAACTTAATGTACGCAATGGTGTGTACACGCCCTGATATTTCACAGGCGGTTAGTGTGGTCAGCAGATTCATGGCGAATCCAGGAAAGGCGTACTGGGAAGCGGTGAAATGGGTCTTGAGGTACTTGAAAGGTACCACGGATACGGGTCTGTGTTTTGGTGGAGATACATATCAGATCGACGGGTATGTGGACTCAGATTATGCGGGCGATCTAGATAGACGACGATCTACTACTGGTTATGTATTCAGGATACATGGAGCTCCAGTTAGTT